TTACTGAAGCTACCAAAATCCTGGCAAGGCCGGCGAGGGTTCGTTGTTTGGCATCAGGTTCAGAGGCTCAGATTCCTCCCCAAAAAACATCAAGTTACGACACCAGAACGACGGAGACGTCCCTGCACTTTTCTTGCCGCGCCTCCTCCATGCTGCCTGCAGGAGGCCCTGCCACAGATCGGTGGTGTCTGCGCGTGTTCTCCAAAAGGAGGAGGTCCGATCTGAGAGTCCGGAGTCGTCCTGAGTCCTGGGTTTGGAAATGCCGCCTTAATGGATGTCAAATGCGCCTAAGGGTGCCAGGATGATCTTGTCACTTTAGATCCAGTGCAAGATTGTAACGGTTCTGGTACTTGCGTGTTGCTTCTGGGCGACGGCAAAAGTGTCAGGAACCATCTTCCTCGACAGAACAACTTTGATGCGGTGCTTTGCTGCTCCAGTCCACATGATGATCCCATGATGGCCCTACCTCTGGAGGTTGTGGAATCATGTGTACGTCATCATATGTTAGAGCACGGGCCGGCCCAGCAGAGTTCTGACGAGTGAAATCTAGTTGAGTCACGTTGGAGTATCTTTCTCTCTTGGAACCCCTTCTCCCAATCAGTAAAGAGAATAAACAAACATATATGACCTTTTTGTCCATCCATCTAGTTCAGGATGTTACTCGGGTCGCAATACATAAAGCCGAAGACAGCCAATGGATATGGATAGCGCTCAATCAATCTGGGCAAAGCTTGGGCCCCAGCTCAGGCTCCAGGTCTTCGCTGAAGGTCTTCGGCACACCCCACCAGCACCTCCGCACCTCAAGCGAAGCTTCTTGGGAACCCCACTGGCTACATGCAAAACTGTATAGCTAGGCTACAGCTTTGATATGCTTTCATACTCTATTTTTGCAGGGCTGGTCTGCCGCAACATCCTGGGGTGTGGAAGATGCAAAGTACATCAGGAGAGGCACAAATGAGAAAGATCACCAACCTCACCTCTCGGCAGTTCTCCCTGGGCTGAATTCGACCTACCAAATTCGTGGGGACCCAAGAAAACTGTCGAGATGGAAGACCTCTCCTTTTGTTTCACCACCAAGGCTGACTTTTAAGACTAGTCACTAGTCTGAAAGAAAATCAACATGCTCAGGCCATGCAGTTCACTCACATCTTGTACCCGGCCTCACATCTCTTCACATCAATTGCTTTAAGCTCCCGACCGGCCAAAAGGAGCAGTCCAAATCCACTCTGGTGAACATTGAGCAGTTAGAATTGCAGCCTCCAGTGATGAATGGCGCAAGTAGATGTCTGAAAGAACCAAAAAGCCAAGTCCGATCAATTGGATTCCGGTTGGGACAACTTGCAGGATATTGCCAAAGGGGACGAACTCATCGATATGCCTGTAGATCAGAGTTGTGTTGGAACCTCAGCCGCCCAGTCCACTCAGAGTTGAGCCACTCATCACAACAACCAGGCTGTATGCAAGATCCTTTTATCTGAAGAAGGTCGATGGCAAGAGGTTGCAAAAATACAACAAGGCATGCGACAACGACTTGACAGCCGGCCAGTTAAAGAGCGAATTCGACTTCAAATTCCGACACACGTGTGTATACATGTTCTGGGCCCTGAACATGTCCATCTTAAATTTGGTTCCGGAATGGGCTAGGTCCATGGTGTCCGCTTTTGTAGCCGAAGTCTATAGTTTAACGGTCTTTTGCGGACACCTGGAAAACTTCATGAATAGCTTTGGGGGGTAGCACTGAGCGTCTATGAGCGTTTTCCTGGTCGGTCAGATCAACTCACAAGATGGCGTCACCCTTGGATGGCCATCACTCAGTTTGAAGTTTGTCAGCTCCCATGTTGTGATCATGAGAGTTTCAGACACTCACTCATGAAGTGGTTGGCAGCGAAGTTGATCGCGCATTGGACTTGAGATCCGGACCTCGGTGATTGAGTAGTAGATCTGTAGAACTTGCCCACCACCTGTCAGGCTGCTTCGGCAAAGCTGCAAAACAACTGAGTCCGTGCATCATTCAATGCAATGTGACCAGATCATCACCTAAACATCGAGTCTAAGCAAATGAAAATATATGTGCAACACGATGTGGTCACCTGGCCTGTCTTGATCATCCATTGGGAAACTGCTGACACTTACAAAGGCTGACAGGCTGAAGTCTTACGTATATATGCGCAAAAGCTTATATATATATTAAGGTTCAAAGCTTTTGTGAGGGAGGTAGGCTGCG